AGGAGTGGGTTAGGAGGGAAGGAAAGCACTGAATAGAATCTATTCTAGTTGTTGACTTTGGGAAAGCTGTCTGGTTGCTGCTTTGAGACTAGACAAGAAAGATGAGGCCATAGAGAGGGAAGGGGTAAAAGGAAAGAAATGGAAATGAGTATAGAAAGGATTGATAATGAAGGGCAGCAAGAGGGATAGAGAAGAGGAGAATGAGGAGCACAACAGGAAAACAAACCTGCCTTTGACCTTGGAGCTGGAGTCTTAGCCACTCACTCCAGAGCAGCATCTCATCCTGCCTTTTAAATAGGGACAGAGATTTGGGCTCTCTTTGGCATCATACAGAATTCTGATTGGTTGCACTTAGCTCACATTACATTTGCTGAGTGCCTCCTGTGGAACAGTCTTGCAGAGGGAGAAGAGTATGGTTTGCATAGGTTTTTGTACTCAAGGTAGGAGAGGTTTTGCAAGGTGTGCTTTCCAAAGTTCAGGGGTCACTTAGAAAGTAATGGGATTGATTTTTCTATCTGGTTTATGGAAATCATTCCCCCCTCCCTCCCCATCATAAGCATGAATCTAAAGAAACCAATATCTCTGTTCCACATTTTGAAGCTACCCATGAGAAATGGATGAGGCAAAACGTTCGGGATAGATCAGAATAGGAGGCAGCCTGAAGCTGAATGATTTCTTCTCTTGGTTTTCATTTTTTTTTTTTTTTAATAAACCAGACTAAAGTAAATATTTATATGATATTCTACCCTATCTGAAGAAGTATTTTGGCCGGATTCCTTCTGAAGAGGCTGAGATGGGATGGGTTGTTAAATACTGTTGCTGATTTCCTGCCTCTGAGGCTCCTGGCAGGGTCCCTTGAAACACTGCTATTCCTGCCCCCAAGGGAACTCGTTTGCTGGCAACTCCAGCCCAAGGGCAGTGACAGTGAAATGCCCTCCAGAGAGCCAGCTGGTCAGGGCTGCCGCTCCACTGTGTGTTTTTGTGCCTTTAGGAATGTGCGGACTTAGCAAATGACAACACTGAGCGAGCCCTGTCCTCAGCTGAGCCCCGGGCCCTCGCTCTTCCTTTGTGTTGGCTCTTTTCTGAGCTTGAGTGATTGCATTGGTTGAGACTTCATTTTCCACAAGGGGAGGCAAGAAGGCGGGTGGGAGGGAGAAAAATATGCCTTTCTCATGGCCTTTATTCCAGTAGTTTTTGAGTTTTCACACTAGTAGATTTTATGGAATTTTACTTTCTGTCAGTTTGGAAGTTTGGTCAAAAATCCCAGCGGTAACACAATTTCTCCTTTTGAAAAAAAAAAAAAATCAACTGGATGTCAACTACCATAGAGTTGTATTAGAATTGGAAAGAAACTCAGAGCTGATTCTAGTCTAATCACTGAATATCTGGAATGAGTGGCAGAGCAATGCCCAGTGTTTGAGTTATACCCACCCCCAGGGGCAGTACTGTGTTCTGTATAGCTCTTCACCTCTGATGTCATTAGAATATTTTCAATAACGTATGTTGGATTAGATTTGCATGAAGTGCCCTGTGTTCAAATTCAGGTTCTTTCAAGCTAGGTATATACCTGAGACAAGTCCTATATAGTAAAGAGGTGATATGCAAATTGACTGTCACTCCAACACACAAGATGGCCACCCCCATGTGATCAAAGATGGCCATCCCCATGTGAACACAAGATGGCTGCTACACGATGGCCAACAGGGGAGAGCAGTTGTGGGTTATCAGGCCAGCAGGGGAGGACAGTTGGGAGGGACCAGGCCTGCAGGGAAGGGCAGTTAGAGGTGACTGGGACAGCAGGGGAGGGCAGTTAGGGGGAACCAGGCTGGCAAGAGATGGTAGTTAGGGTTTACTGGGCCAGTAGGGAAGGGCAGTTGGGGGTGACCAGGCTGCCAAGGGAGAGTAATTAGGGGTGACCGGGCCAGCAAGGGAGTAGTTAGGGGGTGATCAGACAGGCAGGCTGGCAGGCGAGTAGTTGGGAGCTAGCAGTTCTGGATTGTGAGAGGGACATCTGATTGCCCGTTTAGGCCAGATCCCATTTGGCCTCTAGTGATTACATAAAAAACTTACTCACAAATGCTCCTAGCAGTATTATAATAAACAAAATATAGAAACAAACCAAATGTCCATCAACCAGTGAACAAAATATAGGATATTCTTTTTTTTTTAAAATGTATTTTATTGATTTTCTACAGGGAGGAAGGGAGAGGGATAGATAGCTAGAAACGTCGATGAGAGAGAAACATCGACCAGTTGCCTCTTGCACACCCCCCACTGGGGATGTGCCCTCAACCAATGTATATGCCCTTGACTGGAATCAGACCCGGGCGACCTTTCAGTCTGCAGACCGACACTCTATCCACTGAGCCAAACTGGTTTCGGCAAAATATAGGATATTCTCACAATGAAATATTATTCAGCCACAAAAAGGAGTGAAGTACTGATTGATATGTGCTACTACATGGATGAGCTTTAAAAACATTATGCTAAGTGAAAGAAGCCAGATACAAAAGGCCATATGTTGTAGAGATTCTATTTATATGAGATGTCTATTCTAGGCAAATTCAGGAAAGTAAAGTAGATCAGTGGTTTCCAGGACCTGGGAGAGGAAGAAAATGAGGAGTGACTGTGAGTAGGTGCAGTTTATTTGGGAGGAGCGTGATAAAAATGTTCTGGGCTTTTGTAGTGGTGATGTACAATTCTGTGAATGTCCTAAATACCACTGAATTGTCTTTTCTTTTTTCTTTAAAGAGTGAATTTTATATATGAGTCGTATGTCAATAAAACTGTTATTTTAAAAAAATCTTAGATTTGCCTTTTAATCAGCTGGAATATTTTAGGCAATGACTCAACCCAAGTAATCTCTGCTATGAAATGGGAATAATGATGTACATCTCTCAGGATTGTTTTCATAAATGAGACCATGAATTTGAAAATGCTTCTAAAGTGTAAACATCACTTATTTTGGGGCTGAAAGAGGGTTATAAGTTCATTATTAATTATCTCTTCCTTCTGTATTTTCTAGAGCACTAACAGGGTCTGGCTACATAACAATTATTCAAATAAAGACTTTTTGAAGTGATTAAAAAAATTTGCAGTGAATAAAAACAATTCTCAAATTTTTCATTGTGAAACAGTACACCATGTTATTCCAGCAGCAGCCTCATACCTCTTATGTTTACCACAACTCTTGATTGCACCATTTTCTCTTGTGCTTGATTTAATCTCATGTTGTTTTGTTACTAACATGCCCTACAGACTTGTAGCCTAGGAGCAATAGGCTCTACCATATAGCCTAGGTGTATGGTAGGCTATACCATCTAAGTTTGTGTAAGTACAATCTAAGATGTTCACACAACAATGAAACTGCCTAATGGCAAATTTCTCAGCATGTATCCCCATTGTTAAGCAGTGCACAATGTAGACAAATTTATAGAAGCAGAGAGTAGAATGATGGTTCCCAGGGGCTGGGAGGAGAGGGAAAGGGGTATTGCTGTTCAATGGGGATGGAGTTTTAGCCATGCCAATAGAAAAAGTTTGAGAGATCTGTTGTACAACAATGTGCATATTGGTAGCAATACTCTACCCCTTAAAAATTCAGTCTTCTCACTAATTATAGTATAGGTCAGTTCAGATTTCCTATTTCTTTATCATTGAATCTTGGTAGATATTATGTTTCTAGGAATTTATCCATTTCTACTGGGTTAATCAATTTGTTGGCCCATAATTATTCACATAGTCTCTTCCAATAAATTAAAAAATTTTTTTTCTGTGACATTAGTTGTAATGTCTCCTCTTTCACTTGTGATTTTATTTAAGTCCAGCTAAGATTTGTCATTTTGTTGATTAAAAAAAAAAATGTGACTCTTAGTTTTGTTGATATTTTTTCTATTTTCTATTGCCTATATCATTTACTTCTGCTCTAATCTTTATTTGTTCCTTCCTGCTAACTTAGGGCTTAGCTCTTGTTTGTTTGTCTTTTAGTTCTTTGAACTATAAAGTTAGGCTGTTTATTTGAGATCTTTTAAGAAAATGTAAGCATTTACCAGCATAAATTCCCCTCTTAGCACCACTTTTGCTGTATACCATAAGTTTTGGTATGTTGTGTTTTAATTTTTGTTTCAAGATATTTTCTAATTTTGTTTTTTATTTCTTTGACCCATTGTGTATTGTTTAATTTCTACATATTTGTGTGAATTTTTTAGTTTTCCTTCTGCTATCGCTTTCCACTTTCTTCTATTGTGGTGGAAAAGATACCTGTGTGATTTCAATCTTAAATTTGTTGAAACTTGTTTTGTGACCTAAACTGTGATCTATCCTAGAGAATGTTCTGTGTGTGCTTGAGAAGAATGTGGATTTTACTGTTGTTATGTGGAATGTTTTGGATATGTCCTGTACATCCACTTGATCTATAATGTTATTCTAGTCCCCCATTTCCTTATTGATCTTCTGTCTGAATGTCTTATCCATTATTGAAAGTGGGTATTGAAATGCCCTACTATTATTATGTCCTTGTCTATTTCTCCATTTAGTTTTTTAATGTTTGCTTCATACATTAGGGTATGCTAATGTTGAGTTATATATACTTGTAATCATTCTATCTTTCTGGTAAGTTGACCCCTTTATCATTACATAATGTCTTTCTCTATCTCTTGTGATAGTTTTTGACTTAAACTTATTTTTTTCTGATGGTATGGTTACCCCCCTGATCTCTTTAGATTTCTGTTTGCATAGAATATAATTTTTTTTATCCTTTCACTTTCAGCCTATGTGTGTGCTTGAAACTAAAATGACTCTCTTGTCACAGCATATGGTTAGATATTGTATTTTAAATCCATTCAGCCATAAAAAAAATATTGCAGTTTTTAAGCACTTCTTTGAACATGGTTAATCTATAAATCCGGATGCTTTTAAGTCAAAGCATTTTTCAGAACTAAAGACCTTAGTAAATTGAAATTTTCCCCTCATTTTATTCTTCTTTTCTTTTTCTCCTTTAACAGAGACAACACATCTGAATCATTGACAAGATCACAATCCGATTTTAAAGATGTGTTCTACAAACCCAGGCAACTGGGTCACATTTGATGATGACCCTACATTTCAGTCTTCTCAAAAGTCAAAAAATTTCCATCCAGAGAATCAAGGCATCTGTAGGCCAAACGGACTTAAGCTGAACCTTTCCACTCCTAAGGAATTTTCCAGTGGGTCTTCCTCCACCAACAGTACCCCCATCCCCTCTCCCATCATAGACTTCTACTTCAGTCCAGGACCTCCAAGTAACTCTCCTCTTTCTACACCTACCAAAGACTTCCCAGGAATTCCTGGCTTCCCCAAAGCAGGGACTCATGTGCTTTATCCTATTCCAGAATTATCTTCAAACAACCCACTCACAACACCTGCAGCAGATTCTTCCTTAGTGTCTACTAAACCAACCTGTGTACCCCATGCTTCCTTGCCCAAAGATCACTCATGCACACCTCCAGTTCCCAAAGTGGGTCTTCCAGATGAAGTTAATCCCCCACAAGCCGAAAGCCTGGGGTTCCAAAGTGAGGCTCCTCAGTTTCAGTATTTTCAGGAGGACTGTGCCTTTTCAAGTCCATTTTGGAAAGAAGGAGGCAGTGCTTCCCAGTTCACCTTTGACCCTCCAGGAAGCAAAAAGGGATTCCCATCAAGAGACAAAGAAATGCCCATTGATCAAAAAAGCTTAAATCAGTGTTCACTCAACTACATCTGTAAGAAGCTTGAACACCTCCAATCAGTTGAGGACCAAGACTCATTTGGAAGTTTGCCTATGCAGTGTCTGGATGCTGAAGATACAGGCTCTTCCTTTGTCCCTCACACCCTCTTCAGGAGTCAGCCCAAGCCTGGATGGTCTTTCATGCTGAGAATCCCTGAGAAGAAGAACATGATGTCTTCCCGTCAGTGGGGGCCCATTTTTTTAAAAGTCTTACCTGGAGGAATTTTGCAAATGTATTATGAGAAGGGGTTAGAAAAACCATTTAAAGAGTTACAGCTTGATTCACAGTGTAGGCTTTCTGAACCCAAACTTGAGAACTTCACCATGGCGGGAAAAATCCATACTGTGAAGATTGAACATGTGTCCTACACAGAAAAGAGAAAGTACCATTCAAAGACGGAAGTCGTTCATGAGCCAGACATAGAGCAGATGCTAAAGTTGGGGTCCATCGAGTACCATGACTTCCTCGAGTTTCTGACCACTGTGGAGGAGGAGCTGATGAAGCTGCCAGCTGTTCCCAAACCAAAAAAGAACTACGAGGAACAAGAAATCTCCCTCGAAATTGTGGATAACTTTTGGGGTAAAATCACTAAAGAGGAAGGGAAATTGGTTGAAAGTGCTGTGATAACTCAGATCTGTTGCCTCTGCTTTGTGAACGGGAACTCGGAATGCTTCTTAACATTAAACGATCTTGAGCTGCAGAAGCGAAATGAACACTATTTTGAAACAGACCCAGAAAAGAAGGGGATTGATATTCTAGAATATCATTTTCATAAGTGTGTGAAAGCAGAAGAATTTGAGCGATCACGAATCATTAAGTTTGTGCCTCTGGATGCCTGCCGGTTTGAGCTGATGCGTTTCAAGACGTTGTATAACGGGGAAGACCTTCCCTTTTCCCTGAAGTCTGTAGTGGTCGTCCAGGGGGCATATGTGGAGCTTCAGGCCTTTGTCAACATGACCCCATTGCCTCAGATATCATCCCATGCCAGCTCCTTGAGGTCCTGTGACAACGTAATGATACACTTTCCTGTCCCGTCGCAGTGGATCAAGGCTCTCTGGACCATGAACCTCCAGAGGCAGAAATCTTTGAAAGCCAAAATGAACCGCCGGGCATGTTTGGGGAGTTTACATGAACCCGAATCTGAACCTGTCATACAGGTCACTGTGGGGTCAGCAAAATATGAGAGTGCCTACCGGGCCGTGGTATGGAAGATCGATCGGCTTCCTGATAAACATTCAAGTAAATATTTAACACCTTAAATTGATTTGCATGTGAAACAGCTTCAATGTTTTCACCCTACGTAGATTGAAATGAGACTGAGACAGATGGTAACTTGGGTCAGCTGAGGACATGCTTATACATTGCTGGGTGGACGATGGAACATTTAGTTAAATAGCCAGCTTATTTCATTCTTTTGTGCCTGTATCTGCCAGATAAGTGTGTGTGTGTGTGTGTGTGTGTGTGTGTGTGTATGTGTATACTAGGCTAGGATTTAGTTGTGCATGGTGGCACATGGGGAAAACTTATAATTGACTTCTTGACATTAGATTTTCTGATTAATCTTCAAAGATCTGCATTGTGAGTATACCTGAGCACTTTCATTTTCTTATGCTTCTTCCTTGCGTTTTCATCTGGGCCTTTCACTAGGCCTGTGAGGGATGGATGAGGAAATTCAAAAAAGGAGCTCCCAAGACAATGACAGGTTACCTGTGGGCATGGGAGAGCATGGGAGGAGGCCAGGGTCTCCGGCTTTGGGGAATAGGTGGACAGTGGTGCCATTAGCTGATAGCTGAAGATCCTGTCATCACTCTTCCTTTTAAAATCTGTTTCCCAGCCCTGTCTGTCTGTCAGAGACCCTAGAATCAGAGATTTAAAAACATCATACCCGTATTTAGGCTCTATCCCAACCATGACTCTCTGGTGGGGGGAGGCCCAGGCATGGGCGCTGATAAAAGGCTCTCCCAGGCAGCTAGTGTTGAGAACTACCAACCAGTGGAACATTATGGTCCCCTAGGCAGAGAACATCCCTCCCTGCGCTGTCTATCCCTATGTCTGGAGAGCTCTGTGATTACCCTTGTACCTGTTTGTACTAGCAGTTGAGCTCACAAAGAACAATTACAAGAGTGGGTTTTCCCAGAGAGGTGGCTGGACTTGATCTTGGCCTTTGGGAATTCTTTTAGAGGACTTTCATAGCACCAGGCCCACACAGAACACATTTTATAAGCATTCCAGTGATAATTTACTGAACAAATCCTTTGGGATCAAAGCTGCTTTGTTCAGATTAGCTCTGTGTGCAAAGAGGAGGCCTAGGGAAAAGGCAAATGGAGTGTGTCAGGTAGAGTTTGGGGGCAGGAGGTGTCTCTGAGGTAGGTGGGATCCTGTGGTTCAGTCTTGTGGCTTCTCCATTGTGGGGGTCGGGGGAGGAAATGCAAAGAGGGAAAGGTTTGCCTGGCAACTTGCCTCCGCAGGAGAGAAGTACAGAAATAGGTTGGGGTGGAGCGACAATATTTTTCTAAGGCAGTGCTTTCAAACTTGTGTGTGTCCATGAATCACCTTGTTCAAATGTAGACTGTGATTCAACATGTGGGGCCTGATAACTGTCCTCAGCAGATACCAATGCTGTTGGCCCTCGGACCATACATAGAATAACAGTCTTAGAGTACATCTCTACTTTTCTATATGATTTTTAAAGCACTTGGGTGTTTAGAGAACAGCAGGTTTTTAAAGTCATTAAAACAATACCTTTTCCAAGCTAGTTTCTGAAAAACCTTTTAGAAAAAAAAAACTTTTAGAAAAAAAAATATTTTAAAATGGAAAGTGAAAGAGAATATAAGAACTACTCTACTAGATACTAATTAAAAAAAAAAAGCCTTTCCTCCTGTGGAATTTTGAGATCAGGATTGACTTAATTTTCACTTACATGTATGTGATTTCAAGGGAGGTGGGATGGGCTGCTGGCCCTTTAAATGTGTCTTCTTCTGACATGTCAATGCTTAATATTTTAATAGTGGGCAGGTCTTTCATTTTACAACAGAAGTTGGTCTTGGGAAGGTAGCTCAGATAGTTTATTCAGACAAAGATGTGAATGACAGCAAAGGAACAGAGGAGCTTTCTCTGAGGACAGGCTTTGGTGGGGAGTTAGGAGGTCGGTGTGAGGAATGGAGGGTTGGGAAACAGAGGTGGGTTGGGAGAGAGAGGAAGAAGAGGAAAAGATGAGAATATTAATTTAATTAACCAAAGAAGGTGCGGAAGGTGGCATAGAATTAGAAAGGAGAGTGGGAATAGTGAGGGTCAATTAACAAATACATCTATCTCTACCTTCCCAATTGCCTTTACTTTTTCTCTTTGCTCTCTGTCACCAGCACATTGGTTGTTTTTCTCCTCCTCCACTTGTATCATACTCTTTTCATTCATATCTTCCAACTCGAAACAGTTCTGTTTCAGATGTGAAATGTGTTGTTTTAAGAAGGACCAGTATCTACTATACCTAAGAAGATAAGTAATTTACATTCCCTTTGCTGAGAAAGTTATGGTGAGAGTATAGCAATTACCAAAGCCCGAGAGTGCCTCCTGCTGGTCAGTACTGAGATAAATAACATGATTTGCCTTTTTTATTCTTTCTTTCCTTTTTTTTAAATTCATCAAATATCCATGGAGCCACAAACGTGCCAAACATTGTCCTGGGGACAGACATGATACCTCTCCTCACGGAGGTGAAAGTCTAAAGGAGAAAGTATGTTATTAAACATTGTAGAGTATTTAGAGTTTTTAAAAGCCAAGGAAAATATGCCAGAAAACTTAAAGGAACAATTGCTCTCCTTTACCTTTTACCAGTTTTTAAGACAAGCAAGTAGAAAGATTTTGTTCCTAATTTTTTTTTTTTGCAGTACTAGGTCTTTAACTTTGGTAATTTTGAATGCAGAAGGCACCAAATTTTTTTTTCTCCCCTTTAAAATGTGAATATCTAATTAGATAATCTCCAATATAATTTTCAGCTGTAAAAGTGTAGAATTCACTGTCGCTTCATTAGCAAAAACTATAGTACTTAAATAATAATATTGTACTTACAATCGAATAGTACTTTGTAAAGTAATCATATATATATCCCCCACTTCTATCTATACCACTATGGTATAACATGGTGTTAGTGTCTATGTTTGCTGATTGTTTTGTTTAATCCTTATAACAATCCTGTAAGGTTTATGTTGTTGTTATCATCACCATCACCCCCATTTTCATGTGGGGAAACTGAGGCTCAGAGAGGTCCAGTAATTTGTCTAGGATTACACAGCTTTTAAGTAGCAGAGCCGGGCCTGGGCTTTGGGCAACCTGGGTCCCGTGTTTGTGTTCCTCACCACTGTGTGCCACTAAGGACATTAGAGTTCCCGAGTTAAGTTTAAATGAACTTACTGTGTCTGCACTGCAGGCAGAAGACTGGAAACAAACGGTAATGGATGTGGACTCTCCCCTGGGTGTGTATGTGTGAATAAAGTTACCATCTGCCTGCAGTGATTTGGGCAGCTTAGAGCACCGCAGAGGCCACTGTGGTCCTGCCCTGCATGTAAGAGGTGGAGGTGGCTAAGGAGCCTCTGGTGGTTAATGGATTGATGCCTTCTCAAGGCCTTTTACAGCCTTAGAATTCTATTAGTCTCTCTACAAGAAACAGATTGTAAGGGATGAAAGGCAATTTATCTTTTAAGAATTAAGTGAAATCCTTTAAACTCTTGTTTTTGTGCCTAAAGCTATATTCTGATGGAAATGTTATTTCGGAAGCTGTCAGTGCTACAGTAATTTAATCTGGCTTTGAAATTACTGTCACCTCATACATTTATTAAAGTGCAGATAGCTGCATTGAATATGCAGCTGCTGTGGAAAATGCAACAGAATCACTGTTACTACAGTGATTAAATGGAAATATTTTTATTCCATTATCACACACACACACACACACTCACACACACACAAACATTATATGACTACACTTAAAGTTTTGCATTTATCTGATTGCCCTAGGTCTGGCACAGAGCCTGGCCTGGCATAGAGTAGATGCTCAATAAATGACACACTGAATTAAGTGAAAACAAATATTAGATTAAAACATTCAAAGCCAATATGCCCATCTCTACACAGCATGTCTGTTTTCATCAAAGCTTTAAGAAGGGTGAGTGGAAATTAATGTACTAAAATATAATTTGTTCTACTGAAAAAGGAATTCTTGGCCTAAAATAGTTCCTGAAATGTAATACAATTTCATTAAGTTTAACTTAAAAAATTCAGAATTATTTTATAATGTGACCTAATTTAGATAGTTTATCTTTGCATTAACTATCAATAAGAATAGTAAGAAAATGAATAAATTAAGAATTATTACAAGAGCTCATTTAGTCTACTTAAAAAAGTTTTTTTTTTTTTTTACAAATTCACACATTTTTTTATAAATCCTACATACATTGTAGAAAACCATGTTATATACCTTAGTACTTTTTACAAATCCTACACATATTAATTAAAAAGGTATCAATGATCTTTTAATTAAAGAAACAGCATACTTTGAAAACATTTTTGGAGTTAATATATACATTTATACAGTAATAAAGTTGTGTTTATTTTAAAGCTAGTACTTAAAAATGGAAGATTTCCCCTTAGAGCAGAATTGTAAATTTTGATGGTATTTTGCTCAAATGGAATTCACACTGTCATAGTGCTAATGGCATTTCTTATTAAAGAGAGGGATGAGTGCCTTTCACATTCGAGAGAAATGCTCAGTGACCATTGAAATACTTTGACTGACCAATTTGATTTTTTCCTCAAGGTCCTGATCATCCTCACTGTTTGTCATACAAACTAGAACTTGGATCTGACCAAGAAATTCCCTCTGATTGGTATCCATTTGCTACTGTTCAGTTTGGGATGCTTGACACCTGTGCCTCAAGGACCGAGGTCAGGTCTCTGGGGGTGGAGAGCGATGTGCAGCCCCAGAAACATGTTCATCAGCGAGCTTGCTACAACATCCAGGTACGTCCCAAACCTTTTAGGGCTATAGAGCTGTAACATGATTGGTTTTAGATATTTGCTTTGCCCTCTTATGTGACCATGTATGAGTGAGTGTGTGTGAGTGTGTGTGTGTGTGTGTGTGTGTGTGTGTGTGTGTGTGTTTGAGCTAAAAAAAGAGCTTGACTATGGAAACTTGATGGTCACCAGTGAGCCTCGTTTGTCCCTTCTCAGTTCTAGAGAATGTTAGGAGCCTGAGCACAGAGTGCTACATACTTAATCAGCTCTCATCAATGGAAAACGAATTCACGTTTCAGAAGCATATTTATAACAATGAATTCACGTTTCAGAAGCATATTTATAACAAAAATTATGTTAGACTAGCACTTCACAATATGTGTTCTATGGAACATGCATCCAAGAGAAAAAAAAAGTTCGGGAATGCCATATTGTAAATTAATGTTAAATGAAGGCTCTGAGAAGACCTGCATTAAAGAAGCTTGTTAACCTTAACCTTGTTTCCTCCAACTTATTGAGTATGGAATCTGGTCTGTATGGGCATGTGCATGTAAAATGTATACCTATATCTTCCAAAATGGTATTCTGTGAAGCATCCCTTGGGAAATGTGAAGTTACTCTATTACAACCATTTTTAAATGTTCACCATCAGTGCTTCTGCATCCTTAGGCCAGATGAATTCAAGAGTGGCATACATTTACACCTGTTTCTAAGCTGGCTTTTTTTCTCCTCTTCAAAGTTAGTAGATTTAGACATAAACTCTGCCATATATTTCCCATATCTTTTTTTAGATTTTTTTAAAATTTTTATTTTATTGTTTAAAGTATTACAAAGAGTAGTACATATGTCTCCTGTCTCTCCCCCCCTCCCCCCAATTGATATTCCCCCGGCCTCCCCTCCCCCACAGCACATGCCCTTCCCCCTCCCCCACAGTGTCTTGTGTCCATTTGGTTATGCTTATATGCATGCGTACAAGTCCTTCAGTTGATCTCTAAGCTCCTTACCCCAACACTCCCCAGCCTTCCAGCTGTAGTTTGACGGTCTGTTCTATGCTTCTCTGCCTCTGAATCTATTTTTGTTCAGTTTATAATATTCTTTATTATCCATAAATGAATGAGATCATGTATATTTATCTTTCTCTGACTGGCTTATTTTGCTTAGCATAATGCTCTCCATTTCCATCCATGCTGTTGCAAATGGTAAGAATTCCTTCTTTTTACAGCAGCAGAGTATTCCATTGTTTAGGGGTGTCGAACTCAATCAGAGAAGGGGCCAAAATCTAAAATCCAGCCTAAATCGCGGGCCGAATGGTTTACTGAACAGTCATAAACTGTCATTGTGATGGAAACGCAGCGGAGTGCAGTGATGACAGCGCGGTGCGGGCCACATTGCAAGGCCTGGCGGGACGGATTTGGCCCGCGGGCCTTGTGTTTGACACATGTGGTGTAGATGTACCACAGTTTTTTAATCCACTCATCTGTTGATGGGCACTTAGGCTGTTTCCAAATCTTAGCTATTGTAAATTGTGCTGCTATGAACATAGGGGTGCATATATCCTTTCTGAATGGTTATTTCTCAAAGTATCTTGAAATGGTGATGCATCACTGATTTTGTTTACCAGTATTTCATTTAATTAGAAAATATTTCCAAAATAAAAAAATCGTAAACAGTAAATTACAAGCAGGTGGTTCTGTTTAGAATTTATTTTTCTTTTTAATCTTGCACATGAGTAGTATTTTATACTTTCTAATATTTTGAAATCTACTAGAGGCACAAAATTCATGTTCAGGGTTGTCCTCTCAGCCCAGTCTGCACCCTCTCCAATCTGAGACCCCTTGGGGTATGTCCGACAAACTGTTTAAACTAGCAGTCAGATATCCCTCTCACAATCCTGGACCACTGGCTCCTAATTGCTCACCTGCCTGCTGCCCACCTCTGCTGGCCTGGTTGCCCCCAGTTGCCCCCCCCTCAATGTAGTCACCCCTCAATGCCCTCCTGCCAGCCTAATTGCCCCCAACTGCCCCCCTTGCTGGCCTGGTTGCTCCCAACTTCCCCTCCTGCCAGCCTGGTAGCCCTTAACTGCCCCCCCTGCCAGTCTGGTTGCCTCCAATTGCCCCCTCCTCCTGCCAACCTGGTTGCCTCCAACAGCACCCTCCTGCTGTCTTGGTCACTCACACAGCCTGCTTGTCAGTCATTTGGTCATCCCTCACTAACCCCTCTGCCTGCCTGGTTGCCTCATGCAGCCTGCTTGTTCATTTGTTTGGTCATCCCTTGGGCCAGCCCTGGGGACCTGGGGGGTTGAGGGGACTGGGGGACTCTGGAGGCAGGTACACAGAGTGGCCAGACCTGCTTGGGGGCGGGCCCAGCCATGGCACACACCTGCCGCCCCAGCAGGGCTGAGGGGACTGGGCACCACCATCTTGTGGCTGTGGGCGCCTCCATCTTTGCGATGGCACAAGGGTCAATTAGCATATTCCCTCTTTATTAGATAGGATGTTGCTTGAATCTCAGCTATGATTAATGCCATTCTGATTTTTTGACTCATTAACACCAACTGGTGTTTTGATTGTGGTTTGAACGTACAGCAGTCTGTCAGGAGTTTTCTTTATTTTGGACCATCTGTCCTGTGTGGCCCCGTGGGGACCTAAGCACTTGTCCCCCCGGCAGCCGGGAATTGCCCTGGCTGAAGAAGGCTCCGGTCCTGCGCTCTTCCTGGGGCAGCTTTCGTTCAGTGACTGCTGGATGCAGGAGTGTGAAGACCCTTTGCCTCAGCCTGGGTAACTCCACAGGGTCATCTTAGCTTCGGCTCTCCCTGGGCATCAGCCGAAGCCTTTACTGTGATCTCCTTGCAGCCCAGCTTCTCCTTCTTCCTGTTCTGCTTCCTTCCTTCTCCCCCCTTCTCCCTCCCCCATCAGGTGTCAACCCCAACAGCACTCCCCAGTAGACCTTCTGCACACCATTATCCACCTCAGAGTTTGCATCTTGGGGAACCTGACCTGTAACTCTAGGTATATAAGTGTTCTGTGTGAATGAAATGTGGGCCGAGTGCACCCAGAGACTTCCTCTATGCATAGTTTTCTATTCACAGGGTGTGCCAGTTTCACATGGTGTCGAAGGGCAGCTCAAAATTGTGCAACAGAGTCTCTAGTTTAATAGCATTTACTAATTGACCTGCACTGGGTGGTAGTTGGTTTCAAAATGTAATCTTACATTTAGTAAATGTTTAGTGAGCCATTTCTAAGTGCCAGGAAATGCTCTAGATGCTGGGGATACAAGAGTGAATGAGATACTGCCTTGTCCACATGCAGCTTACCTTCTAGTGGGGAACAAAAAAGAATTAGTAAACAAATAAATAATGTAATTTCGAATAGTGACAGATCCGAGGAAGAGAATCAAATGGGGTAATAGGATACAGGTTGGTGATGGCTTCCTTATCGAGAGTGATCTGTGCTATCTCAGGTGGGCCAAGGCCTGGGTCTATGATATGAGGATATAATCGATTACATGCCTAGCTGAAAGTCTGTGTTATTAATATATATTCTGAGGACATTTTATAAAAATGATGCTTGACTTAGAAGAGAGGAGAGTTTTAGTTCTTTTTAAGACTTGACCCTAGAGGGAAGGATTGGGGTCGGGGAGGCCGGCCTCTGTTGCCCAAAAGGAGAGGAGGGGTCCTCACTAAGGAACTGGCATGAAGAGGGAGGAAGAGCTGTGTGTGTCCAAAGGGTGATGTGGCTGCAGAGCATGCTTCCTGTATGAAATGGGACTGAACAGGTGCTAGTGCTGTGTTGCATTTGTTAATGCTGCTTGTGTTTTTGCTTTTGCATAACAGGTTGAAATAGAAAAGAAGTGGATTAAAATCGATGGAGAAGACCCAGATAAAGCTGGTGATTGCATCACTCAGTAGGAATAGCAAGAATTAGTGATGACAACCCACTTTTCAAACAGAAATCACACACAGTTCTGCTACTATCTAGTGGAAATGACTTCTGAATAGAGGGCTTGGGACAGTGTCCAGTGGCTGGCTGTGTTTGGAAAAGTTTAGACCTGAAACTGAACAATCTGTATTTTATGCTTTTCGATATATTTGTGCCCCAGGGATTTGATCTAAAATGTGCCTGTAATTTGTGTGATGTTTCTGCTTCCTATTGAAGCTCAAAGGCGCTGTTATTCAGCGTGTGACCCAGTTTGGCTAAAGGGGTTTTGTCTTTTGATTACTCGGTGGCTGATTGTTTTGTGCTTTGGATTACCCAGCTGTCATATTTATTATCCCCCTGTCCCTATTTCTTCTTGCCATGTTAGCACCTGTACCGGAGGGTGAGGCCGTCAAAAGAAACATAAACCAAAATACTTAATTTTCCCTCCTGCTCATCTCTGAAATGTGGGTCGGTATAGATTGATCCTGAAACCACAAGCTAAAATGGAGATGTGGAAGTGTCTGTGATTTTGAATTATTTATCTTCCTGTCCTCTTATCACATTGCAAGTAATCATTGGCTGTTTATTTGGTACCTGTCTCCCCCCCACCCCACCCATATTGTTGTTTTCAAAATGTATTTGTATTCTGGTGTTGGCCACAAAGAAGCTATTTCTGTTGATATACATATTTTAGTACCAGTCACTAAGACCTATTGCCTTTTGCTTGGAGAGATTTCTTTTAAAATGGAATCCCAGGATTGGACACCACTTAAAATATTTATGTGCATTAAAGATGAATTTTTAAACTTCATGAATATTCTTTCCCAAAAGTACAGACTCTAAGAATGTATTTTGATAAAGTATTATTTGTGATTAACATAAGTCTCCCTTGAGTAGAAGCCTAGCTCATGATTATTTTATGCTAGTTCTACTAAATTTAGAGCAAAATGAAAAACATTAGATTATTTTCCCTAGATTTTTGACATTTCTGTTCTCCACTCAGCTAAATGTTTGGTTTCTAATGAAAAGCCAATAACATTAGCAGTTATAATTCCGTTTATAACTTCCTTTCAATATTTACAGGGAAAGGTCAAATTTTAAAATTCATGAAATCTATATTCTAGGTATTTTTTTCAGCCTGAAAAACAAAGTCCTCCATTTGGTATTAACACAGCTTCAATTTATGTTGAATCTACAGTATGATTAGGACATATTTTTCTCTATTTACTAGATTTGTTTTGAATAAAAACTGATATACTGATGTTCTTCCAAACAACATTTATTGGTTGGCCCAGAGTTTATGTCTTATGTTTTATTTAATGCTGTGTCACATTCATTGTAATCTGTTCCAAAACCAGATTAAAGCAAACATGTATGATGGTTTGTATCAATCAGCAGATTTTATTGTTTTTCATTATTTTGCTGTAACAGCAAGGAATGCAGAAGTTGACTGTTCAAATGAAGTGTTATTGCTCTTTTTAACTCCACTTGATGCATTGCTCATAATATCCTATGCTTGAGACTCACTGTTGATGTATAGGAGGGCAAATCTGTGAGTGCATCATTAAGAAAAATTTCACCATCTTTCCCCATCCTCTGGTGTGGCACACTCTGGAGAGACTTCAGTCTGCTCAACGCAAATATGAAGGCGGCTGCGTGTGTTGCTGCTCCAGGTGCCAGCAAAGTTCGCTGGATTAATTACTGCCTTTCCTTTCAGATCTGTTTAATGGCATCCTGCCCATGAAGAACTCAGAGTCTGATTCAGTTGGACTTAATGAATATTTACACCTCGGAATAATTTCAGCAAATGGTTCAATTAATCGCCCCTCATGCTTCACAGGTTGCCCAGTCTGTGACTACCTCCCTGTTGGGGTCACTTACTCACCAGCCATCAGCCTTCAGGAGTATCTCCAGATTAGTGTTGGAAACCTAGTAACAAACCGCGGACTAAAGCCTACTAAATCCCAAATTGAGTTTCCGCTGCAATGCAAAGGTTGATGGCATTAACAGCAGGGTGCTCTGGCATAATTGTTAATTTGCACATCTATTAGAATCCTTAAATAGTCATTACTTAAAGTTAAATTAACATTCTGTGGAGGGAGGAGAGGTTTTTTAATACAATTCTTCTGACCTCAGAAATGACAGAATATGTGACCACAGTGCTTATAAGTGAAAAATTAGATAGGGTCCATTTAGGCTTACAAATTAAGAAGTAGAATCTTCTTTGCTAGAAAGTAAATGATGATCTGAAAAACAACAACTATAATAATGAAACCCCTTGCTTTTAAGGTTGGCAAGGATGGAAGAGAGTGAAGGAGGAGCTACTCCTCTCTAGCATTTTAGTTTAGGTACTTTAGATAAACCCTTTCTGAGTTTGACTGGTTAGGGGTCAGACATTGGATTACACATGTCAGGCTTCCAAGGACTTGAACAGGTTCTAGTTATTCAGGTCTGGGTGCCTTCCCAGTCAAAGGATCATATTAACTGTGGAAGTGAATTCATAGCTTGATGGTTACTTGATCAATTGTACAGATCAGAATTTAAAGACATTTTCTCTTCTTATGGGAATAGAAATAGTTTATTCATTTAAAAAGGTATGAAAAAATACTTTTTAGCACATAAAGATTGGATTTGTTTTTTGTGTGTTTTTTTAAACATGATTTATATATTGGACAGCTCTAGGGTTTAGTTACCTTCATTCAGAAGCTGTGCTTATGATATAGCCCTTTTCTTGTAAATTCAGTTAGAAAGCCTTCCTTAATAATGATTAAGTATTATATCTTACTTAAAATATTACTTTATAACATAGCAACACAAATATAAAATAGATTGAGCCTTAATAATTGTGTAACAAAGTTTTTGGTAGATTGCATATTGGTTTTTCAAAATTAAAGATGTATTTCAAATGATTCTTGCTGTGTGGTGGACTTATATCTTCTTTTGCAAGGTCTGGGGCTATTTTTTTTAAAGGTGTGAAATCAATTGCAATAACCTTAAACAATTGACTCTGTCAGATGAATGTATACTGCTTTATTATTAAGGAGTCAGTGGACATGGCATCTTGGTACATCCTGGAAAAATAATACCACCAAACTATCATTTGGGATGTTAAAGATAACTTTTAAAAGAGGATATAATCATTATTCTCCTAAAGAAATAATGTGAGTATATGCCCATGGTTTTACTTAACTCATTAACTAATTGGGTGTGTGTGTGGAGGGGGTTAAGATGTTGCAACTTGTTCCAAGGAGAATTCAAAAGCATGAAATAAGGAACTCTGAAATGAATTTACAAAAAGATGTAGAATGAATCTATCCAAAGCACACTAATATAATCAATGGGAGGCCCAGTGCACGAATTTGTGCACAGGTGGGTTTACTTGGCCTGGCCAGCAATTGGGGCTAATCGGGCCATCTCGCCCAGTCCTGATTGAGGCCTATTGGGGCCGGCCAGCAGAGAGGGGAAGGACTGCAGGAGGTTGGTTGGCTGGCCAGGGTGGGGGACTGTGAGGTTGGCCAGCCACCGGAGGTTGGCTGTGGGAGAGCACTGACCACCAGGGGTCTGCTCCTGCATCATAACGGTCACTTAGGCTTTTATATATATAGATAATCAATTTCCCCTACTGGCCCAAAATTAAGTTGCATTTGTATGGACTTGTATTATGTGTATTAGCAGTTTTCTAAAACATACAGAGTTGTAAAATAATGCAAAGACAATGAAAGGTGTTGGTACCCTGGACAAATGAGCTACTATTCAAAATCCTTGGCATTTTTTCCTGACAACAGGACAAACTTTGTCCACAGGATAATTCTAAAGAATTTTCAAATCTTGGCAACTAGTATTATAGATATAATGGGCATTTAAAACAATTTTCTGAATGTTTAGAAAGCTATCTTACAGAATAATAGACAAACATGTAAATTTATCATACCTCCACTACGCCACCAGTCAATCAGGAGTGATATGCAAATGAACAAAAAAAGATGGCAGTTAATTTGCATATTCAGGCGCTGAGTGATGGGGGTGGGCAGGATGCTTGTGTCATTCTGCCCTACCCTCAGTCTCTGGGCAGCGTGGAAAGGCGGGGCTGGAGCAGAAAGAGGTGACTTAGAGGCCTGAGAGGAAAGGGGCTGGGCTGGAGTGGGAAGGTGGTGCTGGCAGCCAGGGAAAGGAAAGCCCATTCCAGCACGAATCTTCATGCATCTATATAATTGTATAGAATATATTTTAGATAAGGTTGAGGGGAGAGGCTGTAAAAGATATGAAGATAAATCAGCTCTAAAATAAATTAAGCTAACAACCTCTTTACACACCCTTTTTATGAGAAAGGTGCTGTGAGGGGAGAGGGAGAAAACATTTTTTTCCCCTCAACCCTTTTAGTCCTTCTAATCAATAGAAGAAAACAACCAAGTTTATTGCATATGTACCTGGGGGAGGGGGTTGTTTCTGTAAGAATCTAGAACCAAGGACAATTGTGGCAGTTGGGGTTTGAGCTAAGGATAAAGAACAGGAGGTCCTGGTTTGGAACTCCAGAGGGGAGGAGACAATTCCCAGGGAGATGGAAAGCAAATGTTTGGTAAACAAATGTTTGCTGGGTCCACTTTAACAAAGATCAGAAGACTTTGACCAAATGGGCTTTGCTGGGTTCCTCCCTGTCCATCACATTTAGTTTATATCAAACTACAGTTATCTATGATGATAGCTCCCTTCTTGGAGCAGGTCCTCTATCTAAATTATTTTAGACAGGGGGAAGGTCAAAGGTTATTCCTGAGTCTTTTCTTAAAAATAACCATATTAAAATAGTTTCTTAAAAATAATCATCTTAAAATAATCAAATACCGACCCCCGCACCCCAACAGGCATATTTTAGATTTGCAAACTCTCCTTACTTCCATGTGTTGAAATTTAACTTTTATTTCATATTGAAGTTAAATTTCAAAACTGCCTCAGGAAATAAAACTTTATGCAGGCCAGATTGTTAAGCACTGTTTTAGCTACTGCTGGAATTAATAAGGTGTGGCTCTAATTCTTTAGGAACAATAAAGGATTGAGTATCCTAACACTGGTCATATTTGTAACAAAACCTCTCAAATTCTCATCCATCAATTCTTTCCTGTTTTGTCTCACGGTCACCCACTTTGTGTATACCAACCACATCAAACTCGTGGCCAGTGGTCTGCATCAGCCCACCGGCCATGAGTTTGACATGCTTGGTGTACACACACAGTGATTCCACTAGATTTTGCTCTCTTCCAGCCCCTCCCCAGCCTCTGGAGCTATTCAACTACTCCAGAAACCTCGTATGCCCTTCCTAAAGCACAGGGCTGGATGTATTGGATTGAATCTTATAAAATTTATCCATTCTTGATGGCAATTTAATGGGGTGTAACCTTCATATTTTCCCAGT